TATATCTCTTGACTCAAAATATTAAGGAAATTTAAAAGTGTGAATGTATTAACAAATTACTTTCAGCGAACCATATCCCCAAAATCTCAGAAAAGTCTTTCTTGCTGCATCAATATTATGGACATGATAAATATTACTGTAGCTATATTATAAGTATGAATATGTATATATTCGGCCAATCACAACGCACTGGATAGCTGGCCAATCACAGCACACCTCGTTTTTTTAGACCGATGAGCATTGTAAAAATCGACGCGTTTCAGAAAGGCGGAGCATAGAGGAGAAACAATAATGTACAGTATGTGGAAAATAATGTATTTTTTTAACCTTAAACCGCATAAACACATTTCATTACACCAAATACACAAAATAATGTTCTTTTTAGCAACATCATATGACCCCTTTAATCAAAAATGTTTCAGCACTAACTGGAACATTGATGGATAAAAGATTGAAGCGAATGAAATCACATTCTAGGGGTTTATTTTTGAGTCAATTTTTGGTTTGACATTTTGAGAGACTTGGTTACCAAAAAAAAAGCTATTGATCCAACAGTTGAATGACCATCAGTTTGTTCATGGCTCCTCCCTGTTGAAAGCAACAAGCTCTGGCATATACAAAAAAAACACTTCTAAACCTCTCAGCTACAAAACCTCCAACTCAATAATACAGAGACACTGAGAATGGAAACGAAAGTGTTCATCTGTGTTCTGTGTGCCTGTTTGGTAACACTCTTAGTGCATAAGGTATGTAAAAATATTTCTCCAATAGCATCAATCAGACACTCCTGACAGCTTCAGTGTTGCGGTTATTGAAAAACAGTTACTAACATAGTGTATGTATTTCTGGTCTGAGATGTATGTATATTTAGAATTATTGATGAATGACTGATGATGAAAATAAAGTCCCTGATCATATTTGTTATTTAGCCTATGTCCACTGTACTATTCAGAATTGGTTTAGCTGTATATCTAATTGTATATCTACAAAATGTATCAGAATTGAATTTTTTATATTGTTCACTATCACTTTTAGTGTTGTTTTTAATAATACTACCTGATCTTTCCACAGACATCACCAGCCCTAATAAATGAAGGCATATTTCTATTATACAAACCGTCTCAGGTAAATAGCTGCCTTTAAACGTCTAAATTTAAAACAAGCAATAACACTTTTGTGTCCAAGACAAAGTGTTCATAAATGCAGTGTGAAATGACAAAAGTATGAACATTCCCAAAAATACTTTTGTATTAATTCATGATGGAGACATCATAACTTTTAACAATTATGCTAGCATAGCTGCTATTTAAGAGAATAAACCACATTTTTAATCTACTCATTAATATCTACAGCAAGGTCCTGAAGGTCCTGTTAATGGAAGTAATTACGAGCAGGTGAGTGCCATTTTTGCTTTAAAATGGAGTAATATTAGAAGCCATGGTCATATTATATATCATGCTGTAAATCTCTCCTCTAGTGAGATAAAGAACTTTAAAAGCTTTCAGATTAAATTTATGTTCTTTTATATATCTTCTGATTTTTATCCACAACAGATGACTAACCATACCTTAAATACAAATACAACCCAAGAAAGTATTCTGGAAAAGACCATTGCGCCGAACCTTGCAGAGGTACTGTTCAGTGCCTTCATTTCTCATAACTACTCATGAATCTATCATGTACGCAATACAATTTTATCTAGGGCTTGTAGGGTTCTCAGGGAAAGTTTATGTCATTTATGAAGTTATATGAGTTTTTTTGGTCATCATTTATTCACACTGGTGTCGTTCCCAACCGTATACTGTTATTGTTTGCATGGAACACAGAATGAGGTAGTTTGATGTTTATATTCACACAACCACATACATGGGGGTGAGTAAATGATAACACAATGCTAACTATTACTTTAAATGATTTACATATGTGTGTTATAGCCATAGCTGCTTGTGGTTTGTCAAATAACGCATGAGGGCCCTCTTGTGTGCAGCCTTTAGTAAAATAACATGTAAACCAAGGAGGGCTCTCAGTCTGCAGGCCGTCAGCCACTAGATGGAGTCATGAGGTCTTGGGTTTTTGTCCTTTGCTCAGTTATTCTAACCTCAGCAAACTTTAGTGAAAAAAAGTAAACTTTAGTTAGTTTTTAAGCTATATATATATACAGCGCTGCTTGAAAGTTTGTGAACCCTTTAGAATTGTCTATATTGCTGCATAAATATAATGCAAGTCCTGAAAGTTGACAAAGAGAACCCAATCAAACAAATGAGATGAAAATATATACTTTGTCATTTTATATTCAGGAAAATGATCCAATATTACATATCTGTGAGTGGCAAAAGTATGTGAATCTCTAGGATTAGCCGTTAATTTGAAGGTGAAAATTAGTCCATCTGTTCAGAGGTGTTTTCAATCAGTGATATCAGGTGTCAGTGTGTGCCCTGTTTTATTTAAAGAACAGGGATCTATCAAAGTTTGGTCATGTTTGTGGAAGTGTATCATGGCACAAACAAATGAGATCTCTGAGGACCTCAGAAAAAGAGTTGATGTTGTTCATCAGGCTAGAAAAGGTTTCAAAGTCATCTCTAAAGAGTTTGGACTCCACCAATCCACAGTCAGACAGATTGTGTACAAATGGAGGAAATTCAAGACCACTGTTACCCTCCCCAGGAGTGGTCCACCAACAAAGATCACTCTAAAAGCAAGAAGTGTAAAAGTCCACTAGGTTTCAAAGGACTGCAGGCTAACTTCTAAGTAACTAAATGCCTTTCTCACATTGGCTAATGTTAATGTGTATGAGTCCATCATCAGGAGAACACTGAACAGAACAACCATGGTGTCCATGGCAGAGTCGCAAGAAGAAAGCCACTGATCTCCAAAAAGAACATTGCTGCCCATCTGCAGTTTGCTAAAGATCATGTGGACAAGCCAGAGGAATACTGGAGAAATGTTTTGTGGTTTTTGGTTTAAATGAGCAGCGTTATGTTTGGAGAAAGAAAACACTGCATTCCAGCATAAGAACCTTATCCCATCTGTGAAACATGGTGGTGGTCAGAGGCGTAGTGTCTTGTATGCAGGTGCATATGGGCCCGGGCATATTGTGGGCCCGCCGAGCCGAGGGGGAACCTTTAATTGAAACGAGGGAATGAATAGAGCCCTGCACGGGCCGGCCCTTCCGACATCAGAATATTCTCTGCCTGAGTCTGACCTGAGCCCATGTCTTTTTTTTTTCTCTCTCTCTCTTTCTTCCCCTTTACACAGCTGCTGTTGCAGCAAATAGGCTAGTCCAGTTTAGATTTTTAATGGCAAAGTGGTTATATTTATTTTCTTTAAGTTAATTTAGAAATATGTTTGGAACATTTTATGTTTGCTAAATTCAAATTGGTTTTTTTAAAGTAACAACCAAGCGGCCATGGCGGGCTGAGTTGAGCACATACAGGTGCATCTCAATAAATTAGAATGTCGTGGAAAAGTTCATTTATTTCAGTAATTCAACTCAAATTGTGAAACTCGTGTATTAAATAAATTATTTGTTTTTTGGGCTTCTGTGCCAAGATTGTGTTTGCATGCAGTACAAATAGCCTATGGTGGCATTTTAGTATCATGTTGAAAAATAAGATTAACGTCATAATATTTTAAGAATAATTATGAAAATAAAATCAGGCTATAGGCCTATTGCGTGACGTTAATGTCAGAATTCCACCTATACTCCGCCAAAAAAATAATAAAATAAAATAAATAAATTTAAATTAAATTAAATAAAAAGTCTATGGCATCCAACCTGTCATTCTTCACATTTAACATAAAAAACAGCAATAACAGGTAGGCTTATTGACGTTTTTGAAACTCTAATTGATCGATTTCATGAAACATTAGTTTGTATTAAATTGTTCTGATTTTTTCAACATGTATTCAAATATTTATTCATGTTTATTTCGTGCTGCAAATATTAAAGAGGAAAATATAATTGATTCACATGCTGCTTGAACTGAGACGAATATAGGCTAGTTATCTCACTACAAATTTAGAAGCGTGAAAACACATTTAGGCCTATTGTTTGTAGTATTTTATTATAAAGTTGACAGAAGGCTGACACAGAAGGCTGTTTTAATATAAGTAACAAAGCACAAAGCTTATTGCGATGGGTGGCCCATACAAATTTTTTTTGCATATGGGCCCGGGGCTGACTTGCTACGCCACTGGTTGTGGTAGTATCATGGTTTGGGCCTGTTTTGCTGTATCTGGTCCAGGACGGCTTGCCGTCATTGATGGAACAATGAGTTCTGAATTATACCAGCATCTGCTTTGTGAGTTCCCAGCATGCATTGCAGCATGAATAAATTATGCAGTTACTGTTATAGGATTATTGTTTTGCTGTTTGCTGACTTCATTTAAAATTTTCTGTTGTTGTTTTATCATTATTGTTAGTTATTTGTTGTACTGTGATGTAAAGAGCTCATCTTTTTAACATTTGTTGGCTGTCACCATTCTTAAGGTTAGTGTGTCTAGTTTTGAGGCCTAGAGTATGTTCACACTCTTGTGCCCTTTTTCTGGGTATCTTAGTCTTGTAAGTTGTTATACAAGCAAAAACAAAGTTGTCTACTTATTAGACTAAGTTGCCTATTAACATTTATCATTTGTAAACAGATAATGAGATGACGACTTTTATGCATTTTTTTTCATCCAGGTAACAGAAAAAAATAAATTACTCTAAAGACAGTAATTGTTATTTCCAGTTGCTGGGACAATAATATATCTATTAGGAAAATAAGACAATCAGCATTGCATGAACAAACAAATTTACATTTTTACTGAGCAGAGCTAAAATCTATTGTTAAGAGAACTCAAAAGTCTTACTGCATCAAGCTGCCTTATTTTTGTAAGTTTTCTCAACAATTGATTTTTTACAGTGTACAATATGTAACATCATATGCAAAAGATGCGCCTGTGTAAATGTACAAGAAAAAAGAAACCCAACTCATGACTGTGCTATGCTTCACAATGAATGATATAACATTGAGAGTAAGCTATTATTATAGTACAGTATATCAAAAATAGAGAATTGCAATTGTTTACCAAGTAGCAATTTTATTAGCCTATGCATGCTTATCAAAGGTTTGATTTTCATTATTTGGTGATCATGTCAAAATAATTTAATTAACTGTCCACTGGGAAAGATGTTCCTGGGTTAAAACTAATTTGAAATCACATCTCTAACTCTAATCATCTCAAACTGTGATAATCCGCTGATTATTTGTTCTTAAATAACATAATATGAAAACTACATGAAGTAGCCAACAAGCCTACAAAACTACCAATGTTAAATGCCAAGAGAATCTGATCTATAATCTCTTGGGTAGAGGTTTAAACCCTAAGCCTATAGGCGCTGTGAAAGGAGAAATCACAAAACCAAGAGTCTGTTGATAATTTAGGCCTATTTCATCTCACATTCATATGTTTGTATTTCTTGTCAAATTACTTAATATACTGTCCAAAATTATATCCCATTTCTTAGTCAAAAAAGGATTTGCACCTGTATGGTTTGTACGATCGTGGTTAAGATGGGATAACCAGACCAATCCAGCAGATATATTTCAGGGATTATTTTAACATGCCCCTAATCTAATTTGACCTGAGACAGAGGAGACTAACAATTGCCTGACTAATCCTTGCATACGGTTTTTATATTTTTATTGTATATGTTTAGATTGAAACTTTAGATTTTATGTATTACAGTTAATTTTGTGTAAGCTTGTAACAAATAAGCAATGTCACCATGGACATGTTGGTTGACTGCAGCAAACACTGGACCACAACCTGCCCCTCAGGGCCTGGCCTGTCATTCAGGCACACACACACACACACACACACACACACAAAGAGAAAGGAGATAGAAAGAAAGAGAGAGCGAGTGATGGAAGAAGAAGAGGGGGGTCCTGGAGGAGGTAGTGACGTATTCTCAGGCCCCAGCATCTCCGCACTTCTCTGCAGCAAGTAATGAGTTTAACCACACCGCTTCAGTGCAAAGGGGTCAATCGCTCGGATTATCACTCTCGAATTTGACATCACAATCCTCCGCACCTCTCTGTTTTTTATATTCTTTTTTGGAAACCTTTGAACCTTTTGTAACCTTGACCTATCCTAACCTATCTTTATTCTTGTAGGTGAAAATTGATACATTAAACTTTCACAGGTTCAGAGAGGACTGGCAGCTCAAATATGGACCGTAGTTTACTCCAGCTAAGACAAAGGGTGTATAAGTGTTGTTGAGTTTGGGGGTGGATGGTAGCTTTTGCAACAGGGATTCACCTTTGTTACCTTTGAAAACATAACCCAATGCCACTGTGCAACAACAAGGTCGCTGACGATGGAACTTCAGCACAGCCACTGCAAGAGGGAAAAGCAATGGTGGACTCCCTTATCAAGGTGAGTTGATATTACATGATCCAGTAACTGATCGTTCCTCTAAACAAACCTCCTTTTCTGAGAGTTTTGTGGTGATATCTTTTCTAATAATCAGGGCACCATTCATTAATTTTTTGATAACAGACTGGATTTTATACAAAAATATAATATAATTTAAATCTTTCCCTGAATATTATATGTTGTCACATATTTTCTCTTGTGTGGTCTAATGCTAAATATTATGATAAAAAAATGAGAGGAGTTCATCAATTAGATATAAAATGCAGAAAATCATTTGTCATTTATTTTCCATCGTATTTAAGACGTGATGAAAAACTTATTGAGGTTTAGATCAAAGATGTCGAAGCATGCGCGTCTCCTCATTTCTCCTTATTTTCAGGCTGAACATGAAAGCATCTTATAAAGGTTCCTCAAGCCTTAGGGTGAAAAGGCACTATCTCTGAGTAGGGATGATCCACGCTCCACTGCTTGATTATCTTCAGTGTGAGCCAGTGGAGGCATGTCAATACTCTGACTATCCCAGCAAAATTACCTGTTTACTCTGTTCACCTACTTATTTTGAGCATTGATACATACTCACTTCAGCATTGATTCATACTCACATTCATACTCACACTTTAGCATTGATTCATACTCACATACAGTTAAAACATTTTTTTAAAAATGAGCAGCATTATCCAAATGGCCATAGACAGCATGTACTGAACCAAGGTCCCAAAAGTTTCCAAAGCTTATCCTGAAATAGCCATCTTATGACAAGCAGATTATAAGTAATATTTGTCACTCAAAACTAATCCTTAGTCTATGATGTTTGATAACTTGAACAGTTATCTTAACTTATAAAACCAATGATATATGTGATTTTATAACATAAAAAGATCATGTGACACTGAAGACTGGAGTAATGGTTGCTGAAAATTCAGCTTTGCCATCACAGGAATAAATGAAATTTTAAAATTGCCCACATTCAAATAGAAACTTATAAAAAGTAATAATTTTTATAATATTTGACAATATTACTCTTTTTACTGTATTTTTTATCAAATAAATGCAGCCTTGGTGAGCATAAGAGACGTCTTTTGATTAAAAAATCTAACCAACCCCAAACTTTTGATTGGTAGTGTAGTATATATACACATGGAAAATGTGGATTTGGATTGGATTTAAAGAACCAAACAGATAAAATGACAACATGACTACAACTGTAACTAAAACTAAAATAGATAACTAATACAAATCAAACTACATTAGTTTATCAGTAATCCTAAAAAAAATAACACTGAGCCAAACACATATGCTAAAATAACAACAACTTACTGACACATAGTAAGAAATGGTTATAAAAAAAACTGAAACAGAAGTGAAACAAGTAGTAGGAAAGAGGAGAAATAAAAAGCGATACTTATTTATATAGAATTTTAGATTTCTACCAAAAACTCCTAGATATATCCTTTTTCCTCCTTCTAGAATTGGAAAGGGTTTTTTTTCCACCACAAGCAGTATTGTTTGTTCTAAAAGAAGGCCTAATATATGTCAAGTAAAACACTTTCCTTGTGCTCTAGAACTTGGGATGGACCTGGGTCAGTGATGTATTGTATTACAGGCGTTTGTAACATATCATTATTAATAACTGCACTCAGAACAGTTTGGCTGATGTATGACATGTTATTCTGAATGAAATCCTATTGTGCCATCAAAACTTTTCTGTTTATTAATACGAGATCAGTCTAGATAATGAATATATTGATTGATATATTATTTTATATATAAAGTTAAAGTTCATAACACCATGGTTGTTCTGATCTGACTCAGGTGGTGGCATGTTATCGGCACTTGGCCTCTTGTATTGGTGGATGCACGGACAACTCCAGCCTAAGACGTGATCTTCGGCAAACACGAGAGCGAGCCCAGACACTAGCGCTGTCCTGCCGAAACCACCTGACAGCTCGACTGAGGGATAAAACATTACCGGAGGCTGAGAGGAAGGAAACAGAGCTGCTATGGGTGGCATTCTCCTCTTGTCTGGAGCTCTTACATGCAGACATGTGCAAGGTTTTCACCATGGTCAAGCACTTTTCCTTGGCCAGTAACAGTGCCATGGTGCAAACAGGCATACAGGGTAAGCATGCATAACTGTAGGAGTTTCATAACAGATTACTAATTATTTAGTAGCTAGTGACAAAGTAACTTCTGTATATTCCTCAAACTTACTAAATGTGAATGTGCTGTCATATTAACAAAATTTCAGCGAAATTTGGCTTGAAAACCATTGTCAAGTGTCCATTGTCCATTATTCAGTCTTTACAATGGCTTAGAGCTATACAACTTTTTGTCTTATGGAGTTTTTGTCTACTCAAAGTTTTTTTTTTCTGAAAGGCATTTCGCCAGCTGAACAATCGGTATGTTGTTAAACAACAGCACAATCCATTGAACGCACTGTACTTCTGTCCCTAAGCCTCGTTTTCATTCCCTTGAAACATTAATAATGGAGCTACTCTGATTAAGGTCTCTTAGAATGACTGGATTTCGCAGAGTAACCGTAATTGTGACTGCACGTTAATTGTCACAGCCCTGTAATAAGCCTGATACAAGTGTTTGCTTAAGCAGGGGGGACAACAGAGTTGGCAGCACGGGCTTTGAGCCTGCCTGACCTGCAGGAGGCAGGTGGCGGTACCCAGACATCCAGCATGGAGGGTCAGGAGCAGAGTCAGCTGGAGCAAGAGATTGCACAGGTGGACCGTACACTGGAGGACATGGAGCTGAAGGTCAATGTGCTGCGCTGGACAGTGGAGGCACTGGGTCCTCAGTATGCTGACCCCGTCAGCACTGACAGCGCTTCACTAGCGCTGCTGTCCATCGACGAAGAGGCAGCTCAAGGCTTTTGCAGTCGCAGCCAGATGTTTGCAGCAATGATGCTGTGTGGTGTGGCAATCTTTGCCGTGGTGCTATCAGTGTGTGTGGTGTTCCTGGTCTGAAGTCTTATCACTTGTGTTGTGTAGGTTTTTCTTTTTCCAAGGTCTCTTCAGCTGTGTTCAGCCAAACATCAACAGTCTGTGTACTTTGTAACAGTTCCTTACTTTTGATCTCAACAGAGCCTGTGACTTTTTACAAATCAAAAAAACTTTGCCAATAATTTTGAGTGTGTGATCATTTATAGCAAAGTAAAGCAAGATAAATGAATCTTCGCTCTAATGCTAAATTGAAAGTACCGTAGTAAAATAGTAAAAAAAAAAGGTAGTAAAATCTGATTTACTTTCTGATTTACTGATGTACCGGTACTATCAGGATGCTGCACATAAACACAAGATCGGTTTACTGTTCATAGGCTGGTTCATCATATTGTACCTTCAGAACTTTGCTCATCATTTTTTTTTTTTTTTTCATTTTTGAGTGAATATAGTATCAGTATCAACACTGACACAACATTTAATCCTTTAACTATTACCTAGCAAATGTGTACTGTCTTCTCAAAACACCACCAACAGAAACACATAGGCAGGGCCGTTTCTAGGCATAGGCGAGCTAGGCGGTCGCCTAGGGCGCCACCAGCTGAAGGGGCGCCAATGAGCGCACGTACTGGCACTTTTAGCAGGGTTGTGATAAAGAGTGGCAAGCCACAATAGATAAAAACATGTGCATAACATATTAAAGCCCTATGTGCAGGGCCGTTTCTAGCCAATATGACACCCTAGGCGAAATCCCTATTGCCCCCCCCCAAATTATATATATATATATATATATATAATTTGGGGGGGGGCAATAGGGATTTCGCCTAGGGTGTCATATTGGCTAGAAACGGCCCTGCACATAGGGCTTTAATATGTTATGCACATGTTTTTATCTATTGTGGCTTTTAATTATGTTTAATTATGTAGTTTTGTAACAGGTTTCGAAACCTGTTACAAAAGCCAGAAACAATAGAATTGTTTGTTTTAAAATGTTAGTCAGCGTTAACTGGTATTAATACTCTGTTACTAATTATAAACAAGTAGGAGTAAACTGATAATAAAATATAATTAATAAAAAGTTTACAGAAAAAATATATATATTGTAATTACCTCGGTATGAAGGCTGCTTTTTCAAAGACATTTGAAATAGATTATTCCAATGTTCATTTACAGAATATTTTGAGACAATGTTGATAATCCTTTTGTTTTCCTTCATGCACTGTAATATCTTCACTTTCAAATATCTCATGAATATTATATTTTGTAAAAGGAAATAAATTAAATAATTAAATAAATAATATTTTTAAAATAAACTGTTAGAACCCGTTTACTATATGTGTCATAAGATCTTGTCAGGCAACATCAGACTGAAATTTAGAGTCAGTCTGTTTCTGTCAATTTCCATGTTTATTGCTAGAAAGTTGTAAAATCACACACAATCAGGGGGTTACGCTGTAGAGGTATCCCATATTTTGGTAACAGTGTAAACAATATTTCGTTTGACCTCCTGAGGTTGACTATAAACATGTTCTGAAGCACCTCTTTTCACTTACCATTTGTTGAACAATAAAAATACTTAATTCTTAATCATTTGATGCACTATTTTGTACTTGGAAAATCCCTGTATACAATTTAGATAAACTTTATGTGCCTACGTTCAGAACGTAAGTACGTTTTGTATTAATGTGTAGGCTACGTGAAACGTCATTGTTTACACGCTCTGTGGAAGTTTGACAGAGATGGTCGTATCTGTCACAGAGAAAGGAGATAAGTTTGGAAACCTTTACAGTTCTTATTGTGGTGAAAAAAAGACACACAATGTGTTACGGTTCCAGTTATATACAGTTCTTCTGAATTATTCCAGGAATTTCAAAAGTTGTGTCTAATGTAATGACTTTAGGGGACAAATACAGAGGAGAAAAGCTAAATCATGCGGTCACATCAGGTCCCGTACCGCCGCGATCCCGCAACAATTTGAAGTCCTTCACAGATTTTATACTTTATATACACGCAAGTGCTTATTTTCGGCAGAATGAGGTCTGCACACCATATACATCTAATCTCTGCGATTAGAAATGGATTTAGCGGAATAATGACTAATCATTACCCAGACAGCAGCTGACTTCGCGCCAGATCTGTTTTAAAACCGGAACTTATTTGTGTGTGTGTGTGTGTAGGCATATATATATATATATATATATATATACACACACAAAATGAGCTGGACCAGATCCGGCATGGTGCTGGACCAGATCGGGCATGGTACTGGACCAGATCCGGCCCACATTTGGGCCAAATCACCATAAAGGAATCCGCATCTGGTCCAGAGCTGACCCAGTTCTGGTCCAGATCCGGAAAAACGGATCCGTGCCGGTATTGGCCCGTTGTGCCAAAAGACACCGGCCCGAGTCCGTTGTACGGATCTGGACCAGAACTTCAGATGGGTCTGGGCCAGATCTGGCCCAGATGATTTTTGCTATCTGGGTGTGACTCATGATTATGTAGGGAATACTGAACCTCTGCATTCACAGTCTTCATGCCTTCTGTACCCACTGGTCTACTAGGTGGTGCTCTTCTTGGTGGAGCTGGTATATCATCATTTTCATTTAATGGTTCAATCTATAAGAGGTCACGTGTGACATTTCTTAATAATGTCCCTGATAGCAACAGACTCCGGGGATCCGCCCTCAAATCGGCAGCTCCGCTGTACTGTCAGACTGTTCGGTCATTCGCGCCCAGAATATGCCCCGCCTCCGGACAGCGCACTGTCAGTTAGCGGACTCATTATGGACACGGCGCGGATAAGCGATCCGAACGCGCTTTTTTTTTGTTTTTTACCGGTGCCGTCTCAGAAATCCTCCTCAGAGTGGAGAAGCCGCGGCCGGCCAGGTTGAAGAAGACTGAACTCGGTAAGAATACTTTTAAAATATGCTTTATTTGTACAGTTGCCAGTAACATTAACATTAATAAAGTTGTTAATTGCTTTGTTGTAGTTTATTTTTGAAATTGCGTTGTGGAATGTCCAGTTAAGGTTAGCTCTTTAGCATTAT